ATTCCAAGTTCTGACCTGGGCTCCGCAGCCTCTGGAGCATGACCTGCTAGACTTTGGCTTTGCATCTATCACAAATGCTTTGCTGGGAGAGAGTGAGGTGATGGGTGTGAGACTTACTGGCTCGAGTTCAGAACAGATATTGGCATCCTGGGTGGCATGCTCACTTTTAGAGGTTAGGAATTGAAGAAAAAAGAGATAGAATGACTGCAATTGGGAATTTTAATCTCAGATTTCTTGGGGGAAGACAGGTAAATCCCACTCATCCCTTTGGTTTCTTCTCTAAATTTTAGTCCAGCAGTTATATTAACATTAGACAGAATAATAGAAGAAAAGAATAAATTTAATTACACATAGCAAATCTATATAGATGTAGATACTAAAACCATAGCCTTCCTAAAGCATAATATGAAGATATTACTTTAAGGGAAAGGGGGTCTGGGGTTTCACAGATGGGGACAGGGGTCTCATGGTAAAGACCAGATGCTCTGTAATCGTGATTGCTTTGCCATATTGATAGGTTTCTCTGATAGAAACATTTTGTGTGAAAGTCTTAATTCTTGGCAATTTACTTTTCACTGTTCTAGATATTTAAGGGATTGGTCAAACTTCTCATGAGTCTACAGAAGTTTGATTGACCTTAGCTTCAAATAATCCACATGCCAAAGTGAAATTTCTGGAGAAAGTCTGCTCTGAAACTCCAAATCTGAATGGGTCATTAGATCTTTCTCTGTGCAAGCTGGTCAGTGTAGGTCTTAGAATCTGTGTCATTGGCAGCTTCTTGGAGTGTCTCTGCTGGGTGTGTGTGTGTGTGTGTGTGTGTGCACGCGCTAGCACACATTCATTTTTCATGGTGCCAGCCCATTTAGCAAAGCTCTTAGGCAACCTGGGCCGAGCTAGTGATGTTCTACAAAATGCCTCACTACAGCCCTCTATCTGCTGCTTGTCCTTGTGCATTTGATGGCCCAAGTTGATTCATTCGAGACTAGAATGAAAATCACTTCCCTGTGACCTTTTTCAAAGGTGTTAGGTGACTGCTTTAAGGGACACATCGGACATTCTACCCTCCAAACCTACCTTGGGGATGCGAGATAGGAGAGGAAATAGCCCCGGAACAAAGAGCCCCCCTTTTTTTTTTTTTTTAAAAGATTTATTTATTTATTTGTATGGAACTGGGGTACAGGCCAGAGATGCAGAGGGTGAGAGGATTCACCAGAGACAGAGTGGGGAGAAGAACAGACAAACGGACGAAGTACACTGCTGAGGGGAGCAGTGAGTAGGTCAGGAGAGGTCTGCCACGCAATGTGAGTCACCTCCGGGGTGGGGATCAAACTCATGCTGAAGTGGCTTCAGCTTCTTAGTGCTGTGCTTTAACCCGCTGCGCCACCAGGGAGGGCCAGAAGCCCTCCTTTTAACTGAAGGCCATGCAGAAGTTGGTGCTTAAGGAGAAGGTGCCCCTTATTCATTGTCCTTCCAGTGCCTCTGGCGGGCTGACCCTGTCTGTCAGTCTCTGCAGGTGTTTGTCGGGGCTCTACTTCTCTATTCAAGGAAGCCCTTCTCACTTCCAGGAAATTTGCATTTCAACTTTCATAACCACTTGTTTTCTATCCATCCCTAGAAGTTTCATTTAGATGAATAGGAGTGGTGTGAAGGAGAAAAAAAGAAGAAATGAAAAAGTAGTTTCTCTAGGTCAGTGGATGTAGAAATCCTTCCACACCCTGCTGTGCCTCTGGGCCTGAGCAGTTAATTGGGGGGCACCCGTGGGCCTGGTGTGGAGAGCACCATGGCCCTGAGGGGTGCTGTGTAGAAGGGATGGAGCACATTTTCCCACCTTTATTGTCTGTGTGATTTTATGGGACTTTTGCTCTTTTTCTGTTACCAATTTTGACGCATGGATGAAGCCTGGTGTCCCCCTTCTGCTTTGTTTATTGTACTAATTACAAAAATGAAATGATCAAACCAGACTTCATCTTATTTTCCTTAAAAAAGTAGAGGTTATTGCTTTATTTCTGAGTTGATGGAAGGGAATGAATCCCAACATGTACATATTTTTCACTGTAACTGTTCCATCATCTAAATGAATGCCTTTGTTATTTTTTATCATAATTTTATTTATTTATTTTTTTCCTAGAATACTTGTGCTGAATCTAATAGGATGTGGTTGTCAGCAGAGCCGGTGCTGTCAGAAGAACAAACCAAGGTTTCTCTATCCTAGACTAGCATTTCGCAGCTCACGATGACAGTTTGGCGTCTGCTGGCTACATTGTATTGACCTTGACCTGAGTCGTAGTGACACATTCCATGCAATGTCACATGCAACCTTTCTAGCAAATTTGGGAGTGTTCACCTTTTTCTTGAAAGGAAACTGAAGCTCAGATCATAATTTTCTTGACTTCAGAGGGAAAAATTGGCAAATGTTTTCTATAAAATACCAGAAAGTAACTTTTTTAGGTTTGGGGGGGTGGGTCACACTCTATCACAAATACTCAGTTCTGCTGCTGGAATGCCAGGGAAGACTTTTAAAATACAAAGCAAGGGTGGCAGACTTCTAATGCACTTGTTTATTGACATTGATATTTAAATTTTATGTAATTTTGTCATATCACAAAATATTACTGTTCTTATTTTTTCAACAATTAAACATGTAAACATTTTTTATTTGCAGTCTGTACAGAAATGGGGAGTGGCCTGGGTTGGCCCACTCCTGAGGTCCATGAAGAGCATGTGCAGGGAAGGATGGGAGTGAAGGGTCGTGGCTCCTGGAGGGACAGTGTGTGTGCAGGTAACAGCACGAAGTACCCGAGGAACTGCGGTCAGCACGAGCACAGCTTGATGGGGCTCAGGCAGGTCAAGAGGAGACAGAAGGGCCCAATCCTGACCTGGCAGGACATAGTAGGATGTCAGACTTAGCCCAGAGAGTAATGGGAAGGCACTAAAAGTCTTTAGCAAGGGAGTGACCAGGGGCGTTTGTCTTTTTAACAATGTCATGATTTGTGAAGAAAGGATTGAATTAATGGCAAGAAATGGTTAGTAAGAGAAGAAGCAGAAAAAACAGAAAGCTAAAAAGTGGACTGAGTGGGTGATGATGGGATAGCCGGACCATTTCCCAAACACAGCACAAGTTGGGGCATCAGGTTGGTCAGATTTATAGGTGAAGGCGTGGCTGGGAGAAGTGAAGTGTCTTGCTTAGCAACACAGCAAATGGAGGCAGACAAAGAGGCAGACTGAGCCCTGTTCAAGCCTGCTGCCTTTTCCTGGGTGGGATGACTTTTTTCTCCTTAAAAATGGGAATTGTGGGGCCCTCCTGGGTGGCACAGTGGGTTAAAGCACAGCACTGAGAAGCTCAAGCCACTTCCGCATGAGTTCGATTCCCACTTGCCCCGGAGGTGACCACATGGCGTGGTAGACCTCTCCTGACCCGCCCGCTGCTCCCTTCAGCCGTGTACTTTGTCCATCTGCCTGTTCTGCTCCCTACTCTGTCTCTGGTGAATCCTCTCACCACCCCTGAGCCTCTGGCTTGTACCCCAGTTCTGTATGCATAAATAAATAAATCTCTTTAAAAAATAAAAATTATGTTTATCCTAATCTCTCTTTATCTCTGAAACCTACGACTGCAGATCTTCTCCCTCCACACATACTACTGCAGAAAGAGCTCATAAGTGAGGGTAGTTCTTCTGAGGTTTGGGTTGTTAATTTTCATTTCCTGAGGAAATTTATTTTATTGTAGAGGGAAATAGCTTCTTGTTCAAATACTAGGGAGGCCAAAGATGATGGTAATGGTTTTATTTATGTGCTGGTGTTTGAAAGGTTGCTGAATACGTAAAGGTCAGCTTTTTTGGAAATGGGTGTAACTTTCTTTTCCAAATGAAAATTGCCACATGTTCTTCTACCCTGGAAAAATGACTCACCTGGCTGGGCACTCAGAGGCACCCTCCCGTCCTGGTGATGACATGGTCTCTGAAACAGAGCACCCCATCCTTTGAACAATATGATATTGAAGGGATGGCGTCTGCTTTGTGGGGTTTAAGACTGGAGATGAAGTGAAAAGGAAGAGAGGAAGGTAAAAGACTATACTGTAGGGCACAGGGGAGGTGGTGATTGTGCCTCAGCTTCCCTTGGGGTTGTGCTGTACAGATGACCTTGGGTGATGGGACCTGTGGTGAGCTGAGAGCAGGGGGATTTCATAAAGACCTTAGTGGGACCTGATGGCAGTGACTTAGTGAGTCTTGGTTTCAGCTAGCATTTCATTCATATCTCCTGTTATTTATCAGCTGGACTTGTTTTCCCCTTTATGAGGGAAGGTCTGGGGTCCTGGTCTGTGTCTCAGATGCCTCCTGCTACCCCTACCATGTACAGTGTCACCCACAGCAGGTGCTCTGCTGACATGTCACTTTGGCATCTGTGCTGCACAGGGCAACCCCATCGCTCTCAGAATTCAGTATTTCTAACCTGAAGTCAACACAAAGATGCTTTAGACATCCTGAAACTGGACATGTTTCAGGAGTAAGCAGTGCCCAAAGATCTGACTTCCATCAATCTTCTCCCATTAAGCAACATTTGGTTCCCATTTCTCTCTTCTCCAGTCCATTTCCTTAGACTTAGGTTGCATGTCTTTATTGTTGCATGGTAGGTACCCAACAGAGCACTTCTGAGACTGATTTTGTTTATTCTCTGGAGGTTCTTTATATATTCGTGCAGGTACTGATGGTGAGTTCAGAGATTCATGACTTCCTTAGTTATTGAAAGCAGGTTATAAATTAGATGTAGGTTATGTTTGAAATAAAAATGTTTGATTGTTAAAGCTTCCATTCTAGCAGAGAGTAAATGACCACTTGGTATGAGACTTGGGCCTCAGTGACAGCCTGTCTTCAACGTGGTGCAATCTAACATGGTGGTTAGAGACTGGAAGACTTTCTCCTGCTGGATCTTGAATGTGGCCAGGAGCATTTAGAGTGACATGTAATTGTGGATGAATTAACTTGCCCTGAGTGTGTCTTTCTCAGTTTGTGCAGGATGGAGATGTCTGCCCAGAGGCTACTTTCGAACAGAACATCTCAGCAACCTGCACCTAATTCTGATTACACCTGGGAATATGAATATTATGAGATCGGACCAGTTTCCTTTGAAGGACTGAAAGCTCATAAATGTAAGTCTCATATAACCACACCCCCAATTCTTTTACAGAACCCTTTTTCCAAACCCCAAAGGCCCAGAAAACACCCCCCCAAACTTGTCCAGGGGTGACATTATCTAAGGGCTTTGGTGATTCTGAGTGATAGAAAACTTTAAAGGCTAAAATGGCAGAATCTGAACCAATGCCATTTTCAATTTTCAAACATTAACAATTCCAGTTCTCCCAAACTGTGAACATTTGGACTGTCAAAAATATGTCCAAAAGTAGAATCTGGAAATATTATTTAAAGAACCCCTTTTATTTTTGTAGCACATGGTAGCCCAGGGTTTCCCAGAGCTGGAGAGAGCTGTTTATGATATGTGTGTTTATAATGACAAAGCCTAGACTGCAGTCCGTCCTCACTCTGTTACAGGCATGAAAGGTGTTTGTTTCATGCTTCTGCAGTGATTAAGATTCAGCACAGAGCAAAAAGTGTCAATCTATGAGAATTTACTGTTCATGCCGGGTCTTAGTTGAATGCTGATGAGTCGGCACAAAACATCTTTCTTTTTTTAAGTAGAATTGACATATAAGCAGGACCTGCTACCCACTCCCACATTCTGTTGTAGTTACCCCATAATCATTGCAGAGATGTTTGATTGCTTTAGAGTAAATATCCACAGCACTAGAAAAATTTATGTTCTCATCGGACCCAGAGGAAGGGTACCTGTTAGGAAATACAGGAGAGATGAAGTAAGCCGTCTACTATGGCAAAGGCAGTACTTTTGCTCTTCCAGTGGTTCCAGACTCTTGCCACTCTGACCTGTCTTCGTGTTCTTGGGCTCTCACACCCACTTGCTGCTCCCTTGCAAGGAAGACTTTCTGTTTTTAATCCCCAGCTTCATTGATATAGACTTATCAATTGTAATATATTTACAGTTATGTTCCAAAGGGAGAAGTTGATATATTAATGCACTGTGAAAGATTTCCCACTGAGTTGATTTGCAGTCAGTGCTTCACAAAATATCTTTACCTTGCTTGATGAGAAGACTTAAGTTCTACTCTTGTAAGTTTACAGCTTTTTATCATGTTCTGGTTTTCCCTCTCCCCCACAATGCGATTCCTGCCAACCTGTCAACCATTTTTCTGCTCTTTGTCTCTATAAGTTTGGCTGTTTTTTTTTTTAGATTTCAGATATACATAATACCATAAAGTATTTGTCTTTTCTGCCTGAGTTATTTCACTTAGAATGATGCCTTTAAGTATATCTATGTTGCCTCCAATGGCAGGGTTTCTTTCCTTTTAAAAATGGAATAGTGATAACTGTGTCTGTGCATATGTGCATATATAGAGATCTACAGGCATCACACTCACTTTCTTTGCTTTGCCGAGTTACTGCTCATTTAGGGTCACACCATATGCATGCCTTCAGTCCTTCCCCAATTGTTCCTTCTTTGTTGTGATTGAAGATTACCCTTTAGAATTTCCTTCAGTGTGACCTCTTAAAATATGTAGAGAAACCTCTTTGTGGGTAAGATGGAAAGGTGTTTTGCTGGCTCCCTCTGTAGTGGGCCCTGGGAGGTAGCTTCTGTGAGGACTTTTGAGCCCATTAAGAAATGCTTTTGTTGTAGACACAAGCTCTGTCGACTTTCAGAATTAGATGTTTTGGGGTCAACTCTCTCATGTGAGTCTTCAAAATTGGGGCTTTAAGGTATGCTCCTGGGGATTTTCTCCTGATTGTGGGGCCCTGTGCTGACAGGGGTTTGTGAGATGAGTGTGTCTCCGCCTTTCCTACCTATTTTGCTAGTCGCTCTCCCCATTGCTACATATGTAGGAATCACTCAGCTCCTGTGTGTCTCCAGGGGAGCCGCTGCCAGTGTAAGCTGTGCATTTGGTGTGACCATGGGAGGAAGGAAGCTCTGGAATCTCCCGTCTTCACCTTGGTCAGCATCCTGTTCTAGCTAATTACTGAGTTTAGCTTTTATCCCTTTTGCCTGTTGCTGAAAGGACCTTGAGATACCTGACTGGTTCCAGGGGAGCTGACGCCGTTGCTTGCTGGCAGCTGAGTGGAGGTCAGGCTGGGTAGTCAGAGGGGCGGGCAATGATACTCGGCTATTCTTCTATCAGGGCTAGAACAGCTTTGGAATTACTCAGTACCTTGAGGTTATTCAGTTTTTGTTCATTAAAAAAATCATTAAAAGGCTTCCCTAGTAGCACAGGGGTTAAAAACACAGCATTATCAAGCAACAAATTCAATCCCTAGCCAGTTAGAAAGGTGACCCACATGGTGCAGCCGACCTCTCCTGTATTGCCCGCTGCTCCTCTCAGCAGTGTATTTCAGTGGATCTGCCCATTCTGCTCCCCACTCTGTCTCTGGTGAATCCTCTCACCTCCTACACCTCTGGCCAGCACCCCAGTTGTTGCATGAATAAAAATAAAACTTAAAAAAAATCATTAAAGGAGCCACATACCTTTCATTATTCCAAAGTGGATAGTAACAGTTAAATGCCTTCACTCATTCCTTTATTGATGTCTGCTCAGTAGTCTTTTTTTGTGGCAATAAGAAAAGTACATGGGACCCCAATGCGTTCTCATTGATTATCTGGTAGGAGACCATTTCTGTCAAGGGGTGAGCTCGTCCTCCTCAATTCACTTTAATGCTTTAAGCTATTTTTTTTTTCCCTTGGGTGGTCTTTAGAAAAGGAACTTACTTTTAAGAATTTCAGTGAAAATCAAAATGACAGGGCACATTGCCATCTATTTCCCTATTTTGTCATCTACAGCTGGATGAAAAAAAAAAGTTTTTTTTGTCAGTTAATTCCTATCACTTTTCCTCAGTTTAAGATCAAGAAAAGACAGGCTTGCTGCTGTAATTTTGGATGTTTTATTTCCAGGAACAATTGAAAATCTTTTTCAGTCTATTGCATTCTAAAATTACCATAGCTGGGAAACGCCCCCCCCCCTCCAATGTAGGTAGAAGTGTGACACATTACATACTTACCTTATGGATTATACCATTAATAAGAAGTAAGTTTAATATTCACAATAGTAAAAATGTGAGTGAGTCTTTACTGTTCTGATCTAAGAAAACTGATTGAAGTAGAGAACCTTAGTTTTGGGAACCTGACAACATATGAGACACAGAAAAGAACAAAAAGCAAAACCCCAAATCCCAGCCATACAGGAAAATGAAAAGCCTAAATCAGATATTTCACTGTGCGCACTGATATAGTCTTCTGTTTTTAAGTTATGTGATTCTGCACCTTCAAGTGTGTCTCCCCATTTTGTCAAGAAAAATTCCAAGCCAGTTAGGTACAGTCCAAAGAAATAGAATTGAGACACATCAAGGGAAGTGCTTACTAGGAGAGGCACAACTTTGCCATCTGCCTTCCTTTGTTTCACATGTAATGGCTCAGACCTGTCAGCAATAGCAACATCTTTAGTTAGACTAAGTTTTTCTACCTGCTGAAATTATGATCCCAACCTTCAGAGGGTCGTTCATCTGAGAAGTAATGTCTTATGGTCATTGTTAATTCATGTTTTGTCCTCATTTTTGAATTTGATATCAAGCCTAACAATGCATCAGGAGTTGGTACTTATCTGTCATGCATTTGCTACCAGCAGACTGGAAGTTCATCCTTCCTTTCTACTTCACATATTTATTGTGCACCTGTCATGTGTAACACTGGTTCATGCCCTGGGGATATAACAATGCACAGAAAAGACAAAAGTGGGTCCTCATAAAGAGCTTAAATTCTAGTGGAAAGCAAAACAATAAGTAAGTAAACAAGCCAGTAGAATATGGAGGTGAAGGTACAGAGTTGCTGTGGAAGACCTTACTGAGGAGAGATTTGAGAAGATACTCGAAGGAAGTGAGAAATGGAGCTAGAAGACATTTGGGAAAGAGTATTTCTAGAAGACACTCCATGACAATAGTGAAATGCTCTTTTCAAGAAACAATAAAGAGGCTAGTGAGAGACCAGACAAGTGGTGAGAAGCACAACAGCAGGGGGTGAAGTCAGGTAATGGAGCGGAAGGTGTTGGCACCTTAGAGAGATCATGCCGAGGACTTTGCCTTTTTCTCTGAGGTGTAATTTAAAGGTTTGGAACAGAGGAGTGGGATCTGGCTAAGGTTTTAATAGAACTACTCTGTAGCTGGGGTAGGAAGGGGTTGAGATTACAAGTTAGATATTATTGTAATAGTCCAGAAACTAATAATGATGGTTTATATCATGATGAGGACAGTGGAGTGCTGAGAATTACATACTTTCTAGATATATTGTAGAAGATAAATCTGTTAGGATTTGTAAATGTGTTGGCAATGGAGTGTAAGAGAAAGAGAAGAGGGAAAGGTGATTTGATGATTTGCAATCTGAGTAATTGGCTCAAGATAAATTGCCACTCATTGAGATGGGGAGAACTATAGGAGCTCAGGACTTGTTAAACTGAGACCTATTAGACATCCAAAAGGAAATGGGAGGAAGAGTATCCAGTGAAGGTACAAATTTGAGAACCATAAGCATATAAATGGTATTTAAACTCTAGAGGCAGGATAAATAATTTTAGATGAAAAAAAGCAGAAGAGGTCCATGAGCTGAGCCCTTTGGCATACTGGCAGTTAAAGTTTGAGGGTGTTGAGAAGAAAGCCACAAAGGAACTGGAACTGAACATATAATAAGGGGGGAAAGTTGGCCATTGTGGTTTCCTGGAAATCAGCGTTTCAAACACGAAACAATGGTCTGTGCCAAATATTGCTCTGGGACCAAGTAGGTCAAGGACTAAAATTTGACTCATGGCTTTACAAAGTGATTGTAAAAGTAGTTTTGATGGCATGGTGAGAGTGAAAGGCTAATAGAGTTGTTTCAAGAAAAAAATGAGAGGACAGTAAATGAATACAGTATGAATCAACAAGCCTCTCAAGAATTTTGTTATGAAGGAAAGAAGAGAAATGGACTTATGAAGGGCTTAGCAGAGAGACACTGCATGAGACTAAAGAAGCAAAAGTCTATGAGTCAATGAATGGCCTCTCTACGTATTAGCAAGACCATGCTGCCTGCTGTCTTGAGGAGAAACTGAAGGAGTGTTGTTATCTGAGCCATCAGTGGTGGCCACCTTCCATGCTGTTTGCATAGGAAGCGTGCAGATTATGCCAGATGTATATATGGATGAGTTGGCAAGAAACTGGGCCAACAAAGTAAGAGTGCTTGAGCTAGTGAAGACATGGAGAAGGCACGTCATTAGGGTACACAGGGGCACGTAATGAAACATCACTGTTGTCTCCTTGCCAGAAACTCATAGCACGGAACTGACCCAAAACATTGTAAGGACCAGAGGTAGCATGAGGACAGAGCTGGCTCGGGTGTCCTGAACGCTTTTTATAAGTATTAACCATTGTCTTAGATGCAACTATGAGATGGAAAGAGTACAATTCATTCCTTAGAGATGGAAAGGAAAGAGAATGAGATGGCATAGTTTCTCTACTCCTGCCCTAGTGATGAAACATGAAGAAAAACGTAATAGAGAAGAATCAGGCGGCCTTTCCAGACACTCAGGTGCAGTCACCATTGCACCAGCACCGAGCCCTGTAGTCCTGCAGCACAGTCTCCTGGCTCCATCCCCATCCTGTTCTCTCCCCTCCTCTTCCACCTCCAAATGCCTCAGTTCTATCATCAGCTTTCAGGGGTTGGTTTTAAAGTTTGTCTGTTTTCCATGTATATGTGACACAACCCAGTATTTATTCTTTTTCCGACTTATTTTGCTTAGCATAATCCCTTCCAGCTCTGACCATGTTGCCACAAATGGCAAGAAGGATAAACCTCTATTTTGACTTCTTCTCAGCAAAGGGAGCTTAGGGGAAGACAAGGGATTCTGCTTTTACCCTTTTATCACAATGCCTGTACCCATGGAACTTGGCATATAAATAAAACTTCCAGAGAGTTTGGATATTCCTGGAATGAGATGGAGATCTCTTATCTGAAAGGTGAGGCTAATTGCCCCAGGATCAGACCACACGGCAGAAGATGAGATAGAGGAAATTAGCAGGAGTAATTTGAGAAAGCAGAATTCTATCTGAAGGGTATCATGAATTAGCAAGCATATTTAAAGAATTGCGTTGAGAAATGTAGTTGCCTCATTACCAAGGAAATATTTGGAAATGCTGTTGGATCACAGGGGTTATCAAGTTCTAGCCATGACCCTTCCCGACCCCATCTGCTTCTCCACTGAGGACTGCAGCCCTCTCCCATGTGTAGCCTGAAGGAGCTGTGATAAAGGCACCTTTTCTGTGCCTCTGTCACCCTGGGCTAGGCAGTAGGGCTGATGGGGATCCAAACACCATTTGCAGTGTAAAAGCTGTGTGAAAAACCCTTCTCATAAACAGATTTGAAAAATATGAAGCAACACAACTAAATTAAATTCCCAGTTGAGCACATACATATAACATCGTGTGCCATTCTACTATTTGCTTTTGCTATGCAGGCATTTTCTGAACTCTCCTTTATCTATACGATGGTGCTTCACAGTCTGTCCCCACAATTGATAGGTTTCGTTATCTGTTAGTTTGCTTGTGACATATAATTTTGGCATTTGTCCTTATGGCATTTTAAGCCTGGCTTCCACTTTCTTACAAGGCAAAGTCTACCATTTCTACTTCTTTAGCACTCAACCCCAGGAAAGATTCATTAATTTTTCATCCAGAGTACTGATCAAATAGCAGTTGTTCACTTTTAAGCCATAGTATATGTAAAAAGCATATACAGAGTAAATTGCTAGGTGTATTTGTTAACTTTAGAAAATTGCTACATGTACATAAATTAATTAGATTAATGCTTTGTTCTTAAACATAGTTAATGTATAAGGTCTGATAGTTAAAAATTGTTAAGTATCCTCGCTATATACCCATAAATGTTAACTTCTTAGAATAAATCAGTAAATTTAAAGTAATTGATACTGCAACTCTCTTGCATTTCTTAGATTTGATATGTAGCAGCTTCTGTAGAAAATCCACTCCCATTCCTGCCCCTCCAAAGACTCATGACTGTTACCCAAGCTGGGATCAGTGAAGGACCCATGTAGGAATAACAGGCTAAAGCTATCCTGGGGCTCAAAGAAAGAAGGGAGCACATCATTTGGGGCTATTGGCTCAGGCGTTGTAAAGATGATGGTTAAGGAATGGGCTGTGAAAGGTGATAGACTCCATTAGCTGGTTGGGTAAAGTTGTTCCAGCCAAGTAAAGGTGAAAGCATAGGCGTTAGGTAGTTGTGGCTAGGACTGAAGCTAAACACTGGGACACAATGTTCCCTAGCCCAATTGGAAATATGGGTTTTAAAGTAAGGGTAATTTGGGAGGAAATGATAATAACAATAATATCAGCAATAGCCAGCAAATGTGGATTGCCTTCTTCTTAGATGCCAGTCATTATATAAAGTGCTTTCTTTACATATGGAATCTCTTCTGAATGAGAAAAGGTCAAGTCTATTTTTGTTGAAGAGTTTTTCATAAAAGAGCAATATTTTCCGAACTGTGATAAAGGAGGTTCATACAGAGGTGAAGCATAGGAAAATATAGAAAATGAGGGGTACTCCAAAAACCATTTGTATGTTTTCCTCAGAAAGTAATGAGGACCTGATTTATTCTAGCATGTATATCAATGGAAATATAAAATTTGGTTGGCTTGGATTAGAATTCATTTTAAATTTCCTACTGTCGTATTTTTAAATTCAGTGGAATCTAGGGGACCTACATGGTCTCTATTCTATCCCAAGCTCCATTCACTGGGATGTAGACCCCATAAGGGATGAGTTCTCATAGTATTACCTGAGATAGAAGCCCAGATATGATACAGTCTGCCCTGACCCATATCACCTGCATCTATTCTGTCTAGAGTTGACGGAAGGGTCAAGATGTGTCATCAGACAGTTGATTTGCTCTCTAGTTTCATGTATGAAAATGGTCACATTCCATGTATGTTCAAGTGTTCAGCTGCCCTGGAGTACTAATCCCAGCACTGTCTTGCAGATTCCATTGTGATTGGATTTTGGGTTGGTCTCGCAGTCTTCGTGATTTTCATGTTTTTTGTGCTGACCTTGCTGACCAAGACAGGAGCCCCACACCAAGAGTAAGTTTGGACCTTTCCTAAATGTCTGTCAAGCCCCATGGGAAGTGAAGGAACAGAAAATAGAAATGCCGGTTGACTCCAGTACTGCTCCATCCAGGGGTGCCGAGAGCAGAGGGTTCTGTCCCACGGGCCTGTGTTGTGGGCTGTGCTTCCTCCCAGCACTTCTTCTGGACTTCCTTTCAAGTGACCCCTTCTGAACCTGTCTTTCTTAGTTCTTTTCCATGCTTTGATGCTGACCTTGACCAAATTTTTATATTGAAATATTTATTAATCAGTATGTATTTTCTCCTTATTCAAAAAGAGTTTACATGGTCAACTGAGTCAAAACAAAATAAAAAGGCAACAAAGTAGAATAAAAACTAATTTCTACAAAAAAAATTTTATGTAAGTGACATTGCATTATACAAGTTTTGGGGTGCATTATTACCAGTGTCTACATATACCACATTGTTTACCAAAAGTTCAATTTCATCTGTGACCATACAGTTGATTCCTTTTATCTGACTTACAAACCTTCCTTATGTTTTCCTTTCTGTAGCCACTAGTTTGGTCTTATAGTCTGAACTTTTTGTTTTATTTAGTTCATTCACATGTTTAAGTTTTATTAAGAGCCAAAGGAAATCTTTTCATGTGCTATCTGTATGTCTTCTTTGGAGAAGTGTCTATTCATATCTGGTGTTCATTTTATAATTGGCTTATTTGCTTATTTCATATTGAGCTTTATGGGCTTTTGTATTTTGGATATCAACCCCTTGTCAAAATAACCCTATGTGCAAATATCATCTTCTATTCAGTATGATGTATGTTTTGATTATAGTTTCTTTTGCTGTGCAGCATCTTTCTAGTTTGACGTAGCTCCATTTGATTAGTTTTCCCTTTATTTCCCTTGGCTTTGGGGTAGAGATCCCAGAGACACCTCTAAGGCCAGTGTCAAAGTGCTTATTGTCTCTGTTTTCCTCCAGGTATTCTTGGACTTATGGAGGAAGTAGTTACATGGGTGCTTAAAGAATGTTCAGTAATATCAGAAAGTATCCATTTATATATAGCTTATAGAAAAACAAAAATCTCAGAAAAATGTTTGGGAAGGATTATTTTTATTCCAACTCTTCAAAAAAAAAGGGATATTTAAAAAATATCTTGACACATATAAAAGTAGAAATACAAAATTATAGGCTATATGGGATAAGCAAAAACATTTCTAAGAGGGACATTCATGGTAATAAATGCCTATCCCAAGAAACATGAATGCTCTCATACAGGAACCTAATTTTATAACTCCAGGAAATAGAATAAGAAAAACAAGATCCATAGTAGAAGGGAGGAAGTAACAAAGGTCAGCATGAAAATAAGTGCAATGGAGATGAAAAAGAGAGTAGCAAAGATCGCTAAATTAAGATCTGGTTCTTTGAAAAGAAAGTTGACAAACCTTTAAATAAACTCACCCTGTTGCCCTCTGCCCCCCCAAAAAAAGAGAGGACTCAATATATAAAGTGAGAAAGAAATACAAAAGATATAGAAACTATTAATGACTTTACACCACTGAATTAGACAACTATGGTTAAATTCCTGGAAATATATAACCTATCAGGACTGAATCAGGAACAAACAGAACAATCTAAATAGATTACACGGCTAGTAATCTAAAAAGAGGACTAGCAAGGGGATTGAGTCAGTAATCAAAAATCCCCCAACAAACAGTTGTCCAGGTGGCACAACAGGTTAAGGTGCAGCAAGAAAAGGAAATAATAGGCATCCAATTGGGAAAGGAAGAAGCAACACTGTTGCTATTTGTATATGATGCATCAGTATAATATATATAAGAAGCCCTTCAAGACTCCACCACAAACATACACCACCATGGGAGCTACTTCCTGTGGAAGCTGTATGTTTGCCAAGAGTAGGCGAGAGGTGGGCAGGAGCTTCTCCACGCACAGCAGCCTTCTTTCCACTGCTCAGTCTCCCAAATTCTGTGCTAGGGACAAGAAATGATGGAGCTGTCTCAGCTGCCTGCTGTCATTCGGCTGAGAAGAGACCATCCCTTTCTCTCCCACCTACTCGACTCCCCAAACTGGGGAAGATACTCCGAGGTGGGAAAGAGAACCAGGTGTTAGTGAGCACTAGCAGAGACTACTGCAAAGGGAGAGAGACTTTGATAAAGCTGACACCGCCTTTCGTAAAGGCTTTTAGGGCCAAGAAGCAGCTCTAATGGGGATAGTTTTTCCCATCATATTTGCTTATGTGTGGGGGTTGCAGGGGAGAGGCAGAAAGTCTCCTACCTGGATCCCTTATGGACAATGAAGATGAAACTGTCATTTTCCCCTGCTTTCTCAGCGGTTTGGGAACCATTTACTCTGCATGCTGCCTTGATAAAGCATGATAGCCACATTGGCATAAATCTGCCAGAAAGTACATAATGAAAAAGGCTTGCATCACATTTTTATGTTGAATATTTTAGAGTTCTTAAAAAAAATTATCAAACTCCAGACATCAGATAGCTCAGATACCCTCTTGTGCCGTCTCAGCTAAGTGCACTCTGTCCGGGAGCACATGTTCTTCATTTAGGCTGAGTGCAAGGTTGCTTGGGATCTTATAGAAATGGGAATTACATTTTACCTTGAGTTGCAATTTGCCTGGCCATGGCTCACTAAAGGATGGGATAGCGCAACCAAAAACGGATGGCAGGAAAATGTCAGTGCTCAAGTTCTTTGTCGTGAGCAAGACCTAGGCACGGTATGTAGAGCCCATACATGGGCTCTGAATGGCGCCCTGAGGATGTCCTGCCATTCTGAAGGGCCCATGACAATCAGCAGATAGAAAATTTGCTGTCTCGTGTACATCATTCAATTTGTATACCTTTGTTCAGAAGTTAATTTCAGTTCCTCAGGAAATAGGCGGAATTCACTGAGTGCACAGCTGCAGCTTGTCCTGACATCCCGGAAGGCAGCTGCAAGGTAGTAGCATCTCGAGAGAGACAGACATCTTCCCGCTAAGTCAGTGTTATAACTGAAGCAACTAAAAGTCTCTGCCACCAGACAGAGGGCTTGCTGGTTCCTCTGCTAAGGTTGGTTGCATGAGGAGAGCTCTCAGTGCAGGGGTTATTACCATGTTAGGGGTTATTACCATCTTCTCCCTGGGTGTTCATCATAACACTTTTACTCTTCGGGGTCTTTCTTTAGCTTACACGTTTTAAAAAGCTTACACGTTTCACTGGAGACGACAGCTGGAGATGGCTTTTCGTGGGTGGGGGTCCTGGGCTGAGACTCTCAGCCATAGGCTTTGAGCACAGCAGCTGGCCCTTCATTTGTAAAAGGTCAACATAAATCTGCAGAACTTTTAGGGGACCATCCCACAAGATTCCAGGTGTTTTCTCTCTAGAGATGTAAGGGGGAAGAGTCTGTCTGTCCTGGTCTGTGCTTTAGGGCACAGAGGAGAGAGCACATCACTACACACTGCAGGTGATGGTGCGTGTCGTGGGAACTGGGAGCCAGGACTGCTGCAGACAGCCACGCCCACTCACCTACCCAGAGCCTGGTGACTGTAGGCGCCTCCAGAGCTGCTGAGATGACTGCAGACAGCACATGTGCACACAGGAGAGAGAAGACTGTGCCTGGAGAAGCTGACATGGGGCAGGAGGGATGTGTGCTGTAATGGAAGGTCAGCTAGCACAGGTGCTCCGAGAAGGGGTGTGTTTCTTCCCTTGGGAGGGCTCAGACTTTCCAGGGAGAGCACTTGGGTTGGAACAGTAAAGGAAATATTTGATTTGGACAGAGAAGTGAAGGGGCCTCTCAGATGGAAGAAAGAACATAGCAAAGGTCCAGAAAGAGACAACACGTTGGGGGGGAGGGTAAGTGACGTCACACAGCTGGTTTGTGGGGTTCATAAGGTCACTGGTAGGAGAGGACTCTGGGTCCCTCTCTTCCCATCCTCCCATTCTGGCAGTCAGACATTTTTAAAACCTGAGTGAAGTGATGATTAGGGCAAGAAAATCAGTTACCTGAAAGACAGACCAGTTACATTTGCATTGAAGCAGAAATTGTCAGAGACTCTCTGAAGTGATTTTTCTCTGAAATGTCAACACCTGCCCTAGCGAATGTTGTACTTACATATAAATCCTAGACCTTCACATCACATTTGCTCGGTAGGCAGTGAGATTGGTTAACCAGGCTTATTGCTGAGAGGGGATTGACTGAAATACATTGCTGAAGGGAGCAGCGGGCAAGACAGGAGAGGCTGATGCCAGGCGGGTCAGCTCCAGAGCTGGGGATTGAACTTGTGGCTGTGGATAGCTTCATGGTACTGCGCTTTAACTCCTTGCACCTGATTCTTGATCATTTGGAACTGAGGAGATGGAATCAGATTTCCCAGACCTGCCAACTGAGTCCACATTCTTCCTGCCCTGCAGGCATTTGGTCATCAACACTATCCAGAAGAGGAGGAGGAAGCTAAAGGACTGAGATTACACAGGTTTTGAATTCTGACTCCAGGCTTGCTTTTGTGAGATTCTGTTCTGAATTCAAAACTGTTCAGACATTTGTTTTGCAGAAATCACCACCTGAGTGAGAGCAACTTTATATAAATCTGCAAAGGATGATGGTTAAAGTAGATGGGACATAGGGTTATTCAGTTTACCCATGTTCTTTTCAGGCTCTGTGGGGCTTGCTGAGAGCTCTTTTATTCATTTTCTGACTTATTCCCATGAAATTGCTAATTTGTTCCACACCCAAAAGAATAGATACCTGGGTTGTGAATTCCCACTTCTGCCAATAACTGGTGTGTGACTTCAGTGGCAACCGGATGCTGCCTTTCTTTAGTGTGTGTATCTGTGCAAAGGGTGAGTCATTCTTGCCCTAAGTGGCTGACGTGATTAGCTTGGAGCATCGAGTGAAATAAGTGGATGTGACAGTATTTTCACTATTATGCTTATCCCTGGAAAATAGTACTGTAGTCTCAGGTTCTGAACTTGAACATGAGTTGTGACCCTTGAGGGTTCTGTGAAAACACAGATTTCTGGGCCCTACCACCAGGGATTCCAGGATATGCCTTTTCTAAAGCATTATGGGGAATTCTAATGCAAATGCCTAAGAGTCCCCTGGAGAAATACTGGTGTGTGCTGCAGAGTATGAAGTTACATCAAAGTGAAGTGTCTCTCCAGTACCCTCCTCTAGAGATTTTGCCTTGGGCCTCACTGTACATGCCCAGATGCCTTGCCTCTCATTTCTGGTGTCTCTGCTTGCTCCGTGCAGGGACTTGCACTCCATAGATGCTAAAGGGGAATATGCTGGCCTGCCCTCTCTGCTACAATCCAGGACTCTGCAGCTGAATGAGCTGGACTCTAAGCAAGCTCTTATTTCCCTTTTCATTACAGCAATGCAGAATCTTCAGAGAAGAGATTCCGAATGAACAGCTTTGTGTCAGACTTTGGAAGACCCCTGGACCCAGATAAGGTGTTTTCTCGCCAGGATAATGAGGAGTCCCGGTCTCTCTTTCACTGCTACATCACTGAAGTGGAACACATGGACAGGGCCAAGGCTTGTCATCAGACCACCGCCCTCAGCAGCCATGTCCACCTCCAGGAAGCCATCAGTGGGAGGCCAGAAGAGGAGCTGAACAGGCTCATGAAGTTTGACATCCCCAACTTTGTGAACACAGATCAGAACTCCTCCTTTGGGGAAGATGATCTTCTGATTTCTGAACCCCCTATTATTCTAGAAAATAAGCCAGTTGCCCAGTCCTCACACAAAGACCTGGACTGAGAGACGAGTTTGTGAGAAACATGAAAGTGTGGGTTTTGTCTTGATATAGCAAGACATCTCCATTCTCTACAATTGTGTCTGAGTGGTTGTGAGAGACAGAAAGAAAGAGGGACAGGTAGACAAAAAGACAAAGAAGATAGTCCCAGAGAAGACTGCTGATGAAGCTGAGTTTTTATGCCTTTAAACACATTTGGGATTCTTTTGGGGCTAAAAAAGTCTGTCTCCTCTTCCACATGGGTGAGAGACTTAGCTGGGACTAGTGTCACTGTGCTTGAGCGGGTTGGTACATACCTTCCAGTCTGACCCTGCCACTGCCATGCTCTGCCTTTCCCATCTGGCTTTACCTCTTTGGGCTGCTACATCTTCAACTGCAGGGTGAGGAGTCTGGATTAGATTATCCATCCCAGTGCTAATATTTTGTGTGTATGACTCAGTGTCCAAACAAGGCAGGGATGTAAGTAAAACAGTGTAAACTGAGGCACTGTCTCTGTCTCTTTGTAGGAACCCCCTGACTGAAACTTCCACTCCCCCCTTAACTGATTCCAACTTTTCTCAGGGCTTGGGTATCTATGGGAGTATGAGAAGACTTGCCTCAGAGTCACTATGGCCACAGTTCTGTTGGTTGTACTGAAATAGCTCTTCTGAAGGCTTCCAGCCCCTCAACCCCTGCCCCATGAAGGAATGCTGCGCTGTGGGTGGTATAATCCCGAAACACCTCTTTTCCAGGCATGGAGGGAAGGATGTCAGCTGGGTGAGGGAGATGCCCTCTGTGAGTCTCTGTCTGCATATCTGTGTCTGGTCACACAACTGTGCCATAGGCACAGTTCAGTAGAATGAGGAAATAGCTGCTTCCACGCTGACTGCTTGACAGAGGGTAGATGAAGGTCATCTGGCTGGTGCGAGGCTTCAGGCTGAGGTGGTGAATGGACAGTAAATACCCCACCAAGGGATCTTCTGGACGGGTGGGAGCAGCCCAGAGTTCCTTTCTGAGGGGGGGTCACACGCGCACACTGGTGTAGAAGCTCCTTGGTTTCATCCAGTTGGTCGCATGCCTGGCTAGCTGCCTGTCTCTAGGTGAAAATCTCACATGTTCATTGTGAATTTGTCCATCACCTGTCTACCACCTGTCTCGCTTATGCTAAAAAAATAAACGCACTTGATCGCACAAGAATTTTCTCTGGTTCTTTGTTATGTTACTTCCCATTTTTTCATCTTTTAAGAGTTTCAGGTGTATAGTTCTTTCCTAATCTCTATCATCTCCAGGGTCCCACTGGTGTGAGTAATGTATCAGTTTTATTTAGGAATTATTCTACCAAAGAATTTCCTTTCCAGTAATGTCTTTTGACATGTTAAACTATCACTAAATAGTAGAATGAAGTCTGAAATGTTGCAGGAGAGCAAAATTAGAAAAGAATGCTGAGTTTATTAACTTCTAATAGGAATTGTTATACTCATTCACTCAACAAATTATTAAATTTTGGCTATTCAAACTTAAAGCTGTTTCCTTGGTATCCATTTCAGAAGATTAGCCAGAGGCTGGCGGATGCCCACAGTATGATGTAGGGAAGTAGGCTCAAACTGGGTAAGTTCCCACAACTCTACCACTTTTCTTAGGAACTAAATGTCAAGAACCGTGAATGGCCTGAGATGTTACCCTTCTTACAGACTAGGAAGTAGGCCTGGCACAGTTTCGTGGACACAAGACATGGAGTCAGAGACTAAGCACTTCATTGCAGCCCAGAGGATGCTGTCCATGTTCACATAGGACCCTGAATTTATTTCCCATTGCTGTAACACACCAGGGATGGAGCAGCCTAGTCACTTAAAGCAATGTGCATGGATTATACTTCTAAAGTACAGAAGTCCAAAATCAGCGACAATGGGTAAAATCAATGTCCATTTGGAGGCTCCTTAATCACAGATGTACAGTCCTTCTTGCCATGTACAGATTCCCACAAGTTCTGGGAGTGGAAAATGGACATATCTGGGGGCCACTTACCTACCACAGTCTTGCCTTAAGTCCCAAAGACTCATGTCTGTCTCACATGCAGAACATATTACCTTGTCTCAATATCCTCTGGTCTCACTCGTTCCAGCATTGGCTTAAAGTCCTTTATGTAGACTTAGTCTTTCAGCTCAAAACCCACAAATATTACCATCTTAATTGACTAAGTCAGCTATGGGTGAACCCCTGAGTAGGATCCATTTTAGTTAAAAATTCTCTGTGACCCTGTGAAACTAGAATAGAACTTATTTTTGTCTAGTTGAAACAGCCAATCAGTGAGACAACTGTATAGACAAAGATATTTCCAGAGGAAGAAACTGAAAGGAAAGGATTCACTAGTCCTCAGCAATTTAAAAATGTAATGGGGCGGGGGGCCTCCCTGGTGGTGCAACTGGTTGAAGCACAGTGCTATGAAGTTTTCACAGCCACCACAGCACAAGTTCACTCACTGGCCAGGGAGCTGACCCACATGGTGTGGCAGACCTCTCCCGACCCGCCTGCTGCTCCCCTCAGCAGTGTTCTTCATCGATCTGCCTGTTCTGCTCCCTACTCTGTCTCTGCTGAATCCTCTCATGCACCATACTTCTGGCCTGTACCCCAGTTCTGTATGCATAAATAAATAAATATTTTAAAAAATGCAGCTGGGGTAATTCCATTAGTTTACAAGGCTTGGAAATAAGCCCCTGTGGCTTCTGACTGCTGTTCCACCCTTAGAGTAAACTTTCCTTTGCTTGGAGGACAAAATGTGCTTCTCAGCCTATCTCCTGCCTGTAGAATTCTGCCAGTGACGGCCTTCTTCCATCTTGTCCTCTCTGTCCCTTCAAGTTGATGGTGGCAGTGATGCTCCTGTCATACTCTCACTTTGCCATTGAACCCACCCCACTGCACAGGAGGCTCCGGTTATTTCCACTTGAGGTAGAACATGGCCTTGTGGATCTCCATGTCAGACAAGGTAAGATGGCTTCTGCATTGACCAAGGGTGATGCTGTAGTGAAGGGACCATGAATGGGTCAACACCCACAGCCCCTAGAAATGAGACAGGCTAACTTCTGGGGAGGGCGCCACCATTGTGTGTAAGCATAGGTGCACATGTTTAAAATTGGCTCAATTTTCACAGTAGGGTTGTGGAAATGAACTTAGCTCAGAGGTTGCCCCAAGGCTGCTTGGGGCCTTGTTTCTGTTTATAAACTATGAGGTGGTTTCTCTCTTCCAAAGCCTGCATAACTTCCCATTTCTCATGAAAGCAGCCAGAACCTTGATGATGACTTTGGAGATTTCCTCCTCCTGCCCCATCAGTGGACCTCACCCACTGCCCTCCTGGCCCATCCAGCTTCAGGCAGACAGGCCTCTTTGCTGTCCTTGGAAACACCAGACTGCTGGTGTCAACCCCTCCTGGATACTCATCCCCCAGATAGCTACACAGCCCACTCTCTCACCTCTTCCCCAAGGTCCACTGTTAGGGTAAAAGTCTGCCCCCCAATTCATATGTTGAAGTCCTCACCCCAGTACCTCCACGTATTTGGAACAGGGTTGTGACAGATGTAATGAGTTAAAACGAGATCCTTAGGATGAGCCCTAACCCAACATGACTTGTGTCTTTAGAAAAGGGGAAACTTGGACACAGAGACATGGTTAGAAGAAATAAAATATGGAGAGGTGTAGGGAGACAATTTTAAAGACCCTTCCTTAGACCTGTTCTCCCAAATTCTGTCCACTGCTTAAGATCAGTCTCCAGGTTTTCCCAAAAATTCTATTCAGAGTGATCAAGTTTATTCTGCCCTCCATCACACTTGACAGTATTCCCGTTCCACACATGAGTTTACATTTGATGCTATGCTTTGTGGAGCTCCCCTGCCATAGAACTCTCAAGGAAATTGACTTGTTCTCTGCTGAAAAACAAAATATTTGTTTTATGCACAGCAGGTGTGAGTCCTGCATTGAGCAAGATCTGCAGAAGACATCTAGGTCATTTCCTGACTGCTGACAGGAATCCAGCAGATTTAGAGCTGTTTATTCCATTGTTTCTTATCTCGAAGATCACTCCATCTTCATTATTTCTATTGCTACTGTTGCAACTTCAAAGAACAATGGCTAATTATTTCCCAAATCTCAGAACACACTAGAATTGACTTGTGATGATAATTATATGCAGCTGTGTCTTAAAACGCTCCTCTTCACCTAAGTCCTCATCATTGAACTCTAGGGAGAGTGTTATTTCCTTAATTATATCAATGTTATCTTTACCTACCAGGGTATCTGTGTGTCTCAGTTCAGACCACCGATGTTTCCTCTGCCCACTCCCGCCCCACTCTGGCTCTCCACTGGGAGCTGCATGTATGCCCTGTCTTCTAAAAATGACTTATTCTCTAGAAGAGATTTTTATGTGGAGTGTAATTATATCTTTCTTACAGGAGATAAGTAAGCTGGTAGCATTGAAATATTTTTAGCCATTCTTTTTGAGGAAGCTAAACTGTTTCATAGTTATTAGGAACAAATACAATGAGGAAATTATTCTAGCATTTAAAAAATGAGCAGCCTAACTCACTATATGAGTAGGGATCAGTTTCTCACTGCACTGAGGCATTGTGTGTGTGTGATGCTCACCTTGGGGAATGAACAAGTTGAGGATTAGGACATTTATGTGTTTTTTTTTGTTTGTTTGTTTTTTCTTTCTCAGTCTTTCCACATTCATTACATCTTGTGAGATTATATATATCTTGTTTATTTGCAGCACAATGTCAATCGTGTGCGGCACAAAGCTCCGTGTGTTTAAAAGACCAGCTGACAATTTTAAGGTAGCAAAACTGCCAGATCTTTTGAAAGCAATGTCTTAAATATAGTGATAAAATGTTAAAAAATAATTAATTGTTGTAGAGTCCATTAACTACTACATAGTTATTCACCCTTAGCCCTTTTCTGTTTTAGATTTGCAATGATTGGGGGACTTCAGAGCTCCGAGACACCCAAGTCCTATCACCATCATCCATTTCCTCTAGAAAATGGAAGGAATGTAGACAGACAGCAGGTCTGTAAATGTGTGTTGTACATGAATGTGTGTTTTGTATAACAAGACCCACAGCCAGAGATTAGGAGTTTATATCTACCATTCACAGAAGGTGATCATGAAAACATGGTTAGTAAAACAGAATAAGAGGGGTTGCCAGGGAACAAATGGGAAGAGAGGATGATGTAAGTGAAGATGAAAGATGGGATGAGTGAATTAAATGAGAAGAGTGAGTCAGAATATTCTCTCTCTTTCCACCAAAGTAGCCACCTATGAAAATGTTACTGTATATGGCAAAAAGGACTTGGAGATTTGCAGACCGGAAGAGGAGGCTGGGTTGCGCAGGTGAGCCCAATCTAATCACGTGGGTTCTTAAGCTTGTAGAGCCTCTCCCAGCTGTTTATAAGCAGAGAGAGATGGAGCACAGAAGAGAGCTTAGAGAGAGGCAAGTTTGCTTCCCGGGAAGCTGGGGCCCGGGCCCATGCCAAGGAAGGTGGGTGGCCTCTAGATGCTGAAAGGCAAGGAAACATGTACTCCTAGAGTTTCCAGAAAGAACACAACTTTGCTGAAGCCTTGACTTTAGCGATTGGGACCTGTGTTGGATCTCCGACCTTCAGAACCGTAAGTGAATGATTCTTTGCCATTTAAAGCACTGGTTTGTGGTGATTTTTAAACCTGCGACAGTAAAACTAATGTGGGAAGGATTTCTGAAGAGACTAGAAGTCTGGAATATTGTATGGACTGAATGGTGCCTTGGCCTCCGAGGTAATAATTCTGATGTTTAAACTTTAAAACAGGATGAAGTGAGAAGGTGGTAGGCCTCAGGCAGCACCACTTAGTAATGCTGTTTTGTAGACTTATTTGGAATCAGGAGAGCCTTGGGGCAGAGGAATCAAACTTCTGCCAGAAAAGTAGATGTAAAATGGTGGTGTTTGCTGTGGGTGTGGAAAGATATAGGTAGAGACATTGTTTTGAAGAAATTGGTTGCATGTTTGATGGCTCCACGTTGGAGAGTTAGTTGATGTTATGGGCTGATGTGGTCCCCATAAATTGCTGTGTTGAAACCCCATGCCTCTGTCCTGCCATCTGATGGGGACTTTAGTAATGAGGACTTCACATGGGATTAGTGCCTCTATGAGAGAATTACGAGGCTGGC